TTCGGTCACTCTTGTACGAAGCGGGGACTTGGACCACATACACTAGATTCCCTATCTAATGAAATGTTACCCGGAAATCTGAAATGCGTTTTCCAGTCAAACATATTAATTACGTATGGTTTTAAAAGTGACGATAGTACAGCTTCACCTCAATACACTTAGGTAACGTCAGGATGCAGGCTTTTTAATGAGCCTCTTTCTGACCGCCAAGTAAAAGTATGTAATATAAAAAGTGGCTACTTAAGAAGTATGACTTATTGTCATTGATTTTGACTGCCTTTATAAATTCAAGTATATTTTATGGAAAAAATGCCCGAAAAAAATATTCCTTGTACTCACTTGGTAGCAAATTACGCCTTCTTTATTTTTTTTTACCTGAAGTAAGGGTATCTTTCAGTTTAAAAAAACTTTCTAATTATGAGCTTTTCTACAATTTTCAGGTGTTGATTCATAAAACATTGTAGGTATCTATAGACCGATCTGTTTCGGGATGCACCGATCCTGGTTGATGCCTTATTGGAACCTCAAGCAGATGTGTTGCTAGGCGCAATACTTATAACATTCGCTACGTTTAAGTTACAATGTATTTTACCGAAAAAACAAGGGTACATCGCGAACGCATTTTCTGGATGTACACAGTGCGCAGTTTGTAAATCTTCAATTCTAGTGTAGAAGTCACTAGGTTTCAAAATGATTCGGCAATTTAGAAACTTTTTTTTAAACCGAAAGATACCCTTTCTATAAGTACAAAATTTAAAGAAGGCGTAATTTGCTACCAAACGAGTACAAGAAATACTTTTTTCGTGCATATTTTCCGTAAAATATATTTGAATTTATAAAGGCAGTCAAAATCAATGACAAAAAAGCATACTACTTAAGTAGCTACTTTTTATAGTACATACTTTTTCTTGGCGGTCAGAGAGAAGCTCTTTAAAAAGCCGGCATCCTGAAGTGTCCAAAATATTTTGAGATTAGGCTGTACAATCGTACCTATTACAACTATCTGCAATTAATATTTTCCAGACAAAAACTCATTTCAGAATTCCGGATGACATTTCATGAGATAGGGAATCTACTGTACACCAGCCCCCCCCGGAAGTTGAACCACTTTTATTAGGATGGTAGCCTGACCAAAGGCTAGCAACCTTGTCAGCTCTCCTAAGGCGTCGAGCCTGCCGCTGACCGTCGCAATGACTCCTTTGTTCAAACGCGTTCACTGGGCTGGCCCCCAAGCGATGACCTTAGACCGGACGCACGCACAAGGGCCTACACAAGGCACAAGACCCGAGGATCAACTGGTCGCGTGACTTTATCCCAATGCGGCCAACCAGGCCA